GAGCCAGTTTTTCTATTTTTAGTAGAGACAGGGTCTTGCTTTTGCTGAGGCTGCTCTCGAACTTCTAAGTTCAGGCAATCCACCGGATTTGGCCTCCCACAGTACTAGGATTATAGGTGTGAGCCACTGCACCCGGCTCCAGCCTCCAAATCTTGCAGTGTCTGCTTACTCAGTGTCTCGGGGCTTGGCACAAATAAAGGATAGGGCATAGGCATTGGAGACCCATGTCAGGACCTTGCTTTGTCATTTACCAGCCATGGGACCTTGAACAAGTGACTGATTTTTTTACTTGCCAATTTTGTTCCTTACGATACATTCTAGACTAAGGAAAAAGAATGGTGCTATTTATATAATGAAATGCCCACACAGAAGCACTCACGAATTGGTGTTGGTCCTGGGGCAGAACACTCTGTGGTACAGTCTTCCCACCCCCCTTCCTTCCTTTCTTCCAGTGGTAGCCACTCCCTGGATTTGGCTGTCAGCTTTCCTCTGCAGCTTTTCATACTTTTACTACCTTGAATGTATTTACAAACAATAGAGCAATAAAATTCTCAACCCTCGTATACATTGGAATTACCTGGAGAGCTTTAAGGAGATGCTTTTGCCCAGGCCTACCTGGACACATAGAAATACTTCAGACTCACTTGGCTTGGAGTAGGCTGTCTTCAGTCCTTAAGAAGCTCTGTGGGCCATTCTCATGGCCAGTGGGGGCTGCCCACTATGGTTTTACAGTTCATGTTAATGGTTTCACTGTTGACATGTCTTATTGCAACTTTTTTTACTCAATATTCTCTCTCTTTCTCTCTCTCTCTATATTCCCCCCAAGAGACAGGGTCTCACTATGTTGCCCAGGTTGGGCCTATACTCCTGGGCTTAAATAGTCCTCCTCATTCAGCCTCCTGAGTAGCTGAGACTATGGGTGGCTTTTTGCTCAGCACTAGAATTTGAATCTTACTCCCATGGAGATGTATGTAGGTCTAGGACAGGCCATTTGTTTTCCCTGTGTTATTTTTGTGATTGTATATCACATGAAACTTATCTGTTCACCTTTTGGTGGCCACTTAGATGATTTCCTGTTGGAGCTGTAACAGTATTATGATGAACATTCTAGAATGTTTTCTTGTATACTGTCGCCAGAGTTTCTTTGGGCATGTGCCTCACAGTGGAAATGCCAAACCTTCCACCTTTCCTAGCTGTTGCCAACTTGCTCTTGTAAGCAGATGTGTGAGTATGCCCCAGAGCTCCCTTTACCCACATACTGCTTTGGGCAAATTTTTGGCCCTTGCTGAAACAATTCAGCCATGAGATGGTGGGTTTGAGGGACCCCCCCACCCCACTAGGCTAGTTGGAAACAGTTGGGGAGATTGTTCACATGCTGGCTTAGCCAGGGCCTGATACCCCACTGACCACTCACACTCAGAGGAGGAAGCAGACTGGGGAGGGCTTTGACCTTTACCCTCTAGAGTCTAGAGCATCCAGGACAGTGATGGTGGCTTTGACCCAACTCTCCCTGGGACAACTGTATTAACTGGAACTTCATTCTGAAGGAGGCAAGGAGGAGGGAGGTGACGGTTTAAAAGGGCTGGGCAAAACTTTGTTACACTCCTATTGTGTGTCTGATTGTTAGTCCTAGGGGTGATCAGTGTAGCCCCAGTAGTGCCCTTATTGATTATAGTACAATCAAAGACAGACCTGCTTTCCCCAGTCAGTGACAGCCCAGAGAGGTCAGGGCTGTGAAGGAGGAAGCAAAGGGAGAGGGATTGGGGTGGGGTGGAAGGACATAGCCTGAGGAGTCTGTGTGGGGTTTCTGGAGAAGGTGGCATCTGATTGATGAGAAAGAGTGAGCCAGGCCTAGAAAGGAGGTAAAAAGAACATAGAAGGTAATGGGTAGAGAAAATGCAAAGGCCTGAGTTCTAAATGAGCTCAGGGTGTTCAAAGACCATCAAACAGGCCAGTGTGGTCGAGTAGGGGATGTGGGAGGACATGGCGGGCAAAGCTGAGGCTGACAGGCTGAGGTAAGGCATGCGAGTTTTATTCCATGTGTAATGGGAAGTCATTGGAGGACTTTA